GTGAATTAGCAATGTTTTGAAAGATAACAATTATAGATACATTTAGATCTGGCTCTCTCCGAAATCTTCGCTTTCGTGCATCCCTCATGGGAGGGGTGAGACCATGCCTGTACTCCACCATATCTGGAGAAGCATCTCCAGGTTCTCTAACCATAATCATCTGTAACAATCCACAGTTCACATCACCATATTAAAACTGAAGCAACCATGTTATCTTTGAATGGAAATGGACATTATTAGCGAGCGCCATACCTGTCCAATATCTGCAGTTTTAACCAGTGCACTATCATCATAAGTTTTGAATGACTCTACAACACAAGGAAGATCCAACAGAGATGCAGGGAAATGATCATTGCCAATTACAAATGTCCCGTTCTGCCCATCCTCTGCAAAGAAGCTCAAAGTTAATAAATCAGCCTGCTCCATAGTCCATAATCAATGAATAATCTTGATTTGAATACCAAGTAATGCAGCATGAAATTGGAGTGCTTTTCTTCCAACTGAATATGTTAACATTAATTTTAACCATACATTGGGAAACTTTTTATCTGGTGTGTTTTAGAAGTTCATGGAATATGCTCAGTAACTTGCATGGTGCCATTGTTCTGTATGCCATGACACAATGTAGAAGGAATGATAGAAGCTTCAGTGGAAATATTAAATGCAAAGCATTAACTCAATTGGATATAGATGACAATGACACTAGCAAAACACTGACACTAACAAAACACTGGCACGAGCCATCCTATACAATTAATCCTTTTGTTGAAGTACCTGTAGTCCAACTGCCTCATCTAAAATTTGGCATCCTATAATATTTTAGTACAATGCTCCTAACCTCAATAGATGCTTTGATATGGTTAGACAGAAAACAGATAATGAGATGATTTGGATGCTACTCATGCCACCAAGACAACATGCAAAATGCATTTATGCATTTCAAAAACATATTCTCAGAGCCTTTCAAAGAAAACATGCACATCGAGAACAGCACAATGCCAAAGCCAATTTTTCTATCTTTTATACTTTTTCCTTATAAAATTACAAATGAGAAGTGAAGAGCAGATGGAAATAAAAGAACTGCCTGGCAGTCCTTAAACCTTGTTGTGTGCATACATATTGGACCCTGACTCAACAACTAGGACATAATTATAAAAACAAAAAGAAGCCTGAATTGGATACTAACCTGCAACAATAAACAGAAAACAAAAAT